CCGATATATATATATATAAATAGATTATACATTCACCAGCTATTTTCTTTTATTGTTGATCACATTACTGTCTTGTTGTTTTATTCTGTTTTTATATGATTTTTTGGTACTGTACCTTGTCTATATTTTCATTAATGTAATGCTTATACTTTCCTGAGCCGAGGATCTATTGAAAACAGTCTCTCTATCCTCACAAGGTAGGGTAAGGTCTGCGTACACACTACCCTCCCCAAATTCTACGATATGGGATAATACTGGATATGTTGTTGTTGATTCACCGGCTATTTTTAGTTTAAATAATTAAGGAAGCTTATTTAGCTTAATTCTTCTTTAAACTTTTTATCATAACCCAGGACGTGCAAGTTTTTTGAACTTCATTTGCTTTCAACAAGAAGACATCTTTTTCTCTTTACATACGTCCTTAACAATCTTCAAATCTAAAAATTTCCAGCCAGGCTTTAGCCTAGAGCACAAAAAAACACAGTAAAATCCTGCAACATATGCCCGTTGGTGTGCTTCGTGCTCGCGAGGAAAGAAAGGAGAGCGACAAGGTTCAATACCGATAGAAAAACTGGAAACATTCATCTTATCTATATGCATGCAAAACTTCCTTCCTTTCTGGATCAAACTGAAATAGTGAAGCAGAAAAAAAGGAACAAAATTTTTCATGTGCCTATCCCATTTCTGGAAAATGTTCAATATACAGGAGAGTATTAGAAGCTGCAAGCTCTTTCATGTAGCTGCGAAAATCATTTACAAGCATTACTTATAACTTAGTGCCAAACCTTCTAAAAACATTGTCCAGTTTTTATACAAGTTCTCTCCTTATTCTTCAAAATCACATTCGTTTTGCTCCGACAATAGCACTGCTTCTAGTTCCTTACTGAAGTCTTCATTGCCATCCTGCTCTTCAGCCACTTGTTGTTGGGAGAACTTTTCTCCTGCACTTCCTTTACAATGTCAATGCCTGTTTGTTGATAGAATAATTCCTTCTGAGCTTTCCAGTCCTCAGCAGTCTTCTCAACTACATCCCCTATCAATGTCTGGTTCTCTGTTATGTGCTTTATATTTTCTACATCCACCATGTCTCTAGCCGCTTCGAGAAGAAAAAAGAAAAAAGAAAAAAGAAAAAAGAAAGTGAAAAGATGTCCTCCTCAACTTTAAAGGGAAAGTTAAAATCTTGGATGCAAAAGAGCCTTATGGGATTTAGTGTGTGCCCAATTGCCGGAGAATCTTGGGAACTTTAACTCATTTGCAACTTCCTATATACATTCTGAACAAAAGGAATGCAATAGTTTGTGAACTAATTGGTAGCTTCACTGCATCAACATATTCACGATAACTTCAGTATGTACCGAAATATTGACTTTAGCAACGGAATACTTCTAAGATAGAAGAAAATTTGACCAGTATTATACAGACTTGGATAATCCTTTCGAAATAAATCAAAATGTGCCTTACTTAACACATAAATATTGCTGTCAACAAATAAAAAATGACCAAAATATGTTTTCCGTTAAAAGCTTAAGAAGCTCATTGAGGTTACCTCTAATAGCTAATTCCTTGGCCCTTGCATATTCTGCTGACTTTTGCTTAAGCAAATCCACCTCAAGCTCCATGCCCTGGAATAAATGGGAATACGAATTCAGCACTCTGAAGTCAAAGAAAGAGACATGCAATAGCAGGTTAAGTGACAAGAGACCTAATGAAAGGAATTGCATCACTAAAGCAGCCTCCCAAAAAGCTAACTCGTCCACTTTTTAGTGACAAGTAACAAGCTAATTTGCTTATACTGATCAACACCAACATTCAAATAACTCCTGATCAACAATAAGAATGCATCATATGGTCAAATGATCCTCTAACACGATTTTTGCGCTATTCAAGTTTTTAAAAAAAAAAACTCCATTGATTGTTTTCCTCTCACAAACAGGCAACTCGAGATTAGTCCATTCCTTTTGTAGTACTTCCTTTCACTTGCCCTTTTAACTATCACACCGCTGAGGTAAAAACTAAGCATCCACTCCAAGAAAAAAGAATTCATAAAAGAACAATCTTATGCTATTCTGAAAATACTTGCTAAATTGCATAAATACAAACACAGACCCCCACAAAAGCAGAAACAATCTCGTATTCCAGCAAACAATACGAATCATATTTGGATGGAAGAAATCCAACCAATTTAATGAAAGAAGTTTTACACAGTCAATTGGTCCAAAATTACTAAAATCCTACTTATAATTTTTATTTTTGATGTTGTACCTGACAATTTTCTTGCAAAATCAGTAAAGTACAGGTCCACTCAAAATTTCCATCAAAATGGTGGCTGAGTTCAACAAATCCATATATTTAGTCACATCAATCCATATGAAACTGTAGGCAAAAACACACAGCTGGAAGCATATTCTAGAATGGAAATTGATAGAGCCCTTCTCTTTGAATTTAAAAAACAGAGTTTTACAAACATACCATATCCATGTGGGTGAAGTGCTCGATCCGGGTATTTGCAAATAACCTACATCATCCAAGGAAACAAGGTGAGCGAATGTATAGAGAAGGCTGTGAAATATAACAAACGGTTGCCAGAAAAGTATCGGTAACATACTTTTTGGATGCTATACGGATACTTGCATTTTGTATTTCTGTCAGTTCATCTAATCTCTCAGCTGCAGAGCCCTCATTAACATCCACAGACCCAAAAAGAAACATGTTTCTGTCTAACATACGTTTGACTAAAGCAGGGACTACTTTAACACCTTTAACCTTTGCCTCTGTGACGATGTTCCGAAGATTCTTCAGGTCTCCTGCCAAACGGAACAAAAAGAATTATGGTCAAACTACAAAGCATCAAAAGCTACTGACAGTTGCACAGTAAACTATATCGGCAATTAGACACTTGCCAAATTTTGCAAACAAACACTAGCCAAAGTAAGAGTTTCGAATCTCCAAATATTAATTTAAGGAATCCCCAAATAACACCAGAAGGTCTTCCAGAGGGACATTTCTTCTCTGATTGGTACTGCTAGATTAGAAGAATTACATCGGCTACGCACCCACAAAAATACAAATTTTTATATCCTCAAAGATCTACAACTAAAGGAATATGAATAGAATGTCATACTTCATTTAAATAAGGCTGATGCTGTGCCATATATCAGGAACATAAATTATGGTGAACCAGTTCTAGAAGTGCCAAGGAACATATATTGAACTTGCAAATTATAGTTGAAAACATATATTGTTCAATGGGGTATTTCTGAAGGTGAAACTGAGGATGCATGGCTTTCCCTGAATTAAGTGTTGTCAAGAGGTAGTTTGAGAAATGATAGAGAGAAGGAGATCATTTGGCATCAAAGGAAGATTTAATTGGAAGTCCTGTTGATTTTGGACAAATGAAACACAACCTAATGAAAACAGCCTCTCTATCCCTCGGGGTAGGGGTAAGGTCTGCGTACACTCTACCCTCCCCAGACCCCAATAGTGGGATTCTACTGGGTGGTTGTTGTTGTTGAAACACAACCTGTTCTTCAAATGAAATTAAAACTGCCATTTAAGATTTTTTTAGCAAAATGACAGTACGAGGTGGTATTGTGATTGGTATCTTAGTAGCATCAACATATTCCTCACCTAGATTTTAATTTTTCACTAATTACTCAAGAATTCCTGACTTCTTATGCCTCATTTATTATTATGATTTGATGAGAAAACTGAATAGAGTGTTGACCCACCTGTGATTCCAATTATACAGGTTAATGTCCTCAAAGCTAAACCAAGAAAAGGTTTAACACATCAGTCGAAGCAACAATGGTGAACACCTAATAGTGGTCCAATTCCATCCACATAACCAGCAAAATATATACTTGATAGTCCAATTACATGTTTGGAGAACTCTTCAAAGAGCTAAAGCAACCTACTTAATGTATGAGTAAACTATGACTTAACATCCTTACTAGAGCTATTCATTTGATTTACATATACATGTTACAATAATTCATCTGATATACAACATTAATCTTGTGGAGTTCCAGTAACATATTTTGAAACAGAAATCTAGAAAGTATCCATGATGATATATGCTCCAGACAGCGCCATCACAAAGAAAGAAATTTGCAACTCAATCGGTGAAGTGACTGATTCAGGTTTGATTCTAATGTTTTTTGTTAAGATTCGATCGTAACCTTTAATTGTCTCATCTCATAAGACCAAAACTGCACCATCGGGCATCGAGAGAGAATCATCATATAAGAAGCAGTGTTTCATGACATATCATGTTTAAAAGATGGTACATATATACCTAGAGATATATAAATCTTGAAAGGAGGCTTGAATGGCTGCGTCTCAAAAAGGCAGTACAGGGAATAAAGCCCACCCAGTCTACTCAAAAGAGAATGAGTAGACACCATGTAACCTGCAATGCATTCGGTTAGTCCAAAGCAGGAAAATATCAGCCACAGGATAAGGTGAAAATCTTACACTAGTATGACAGCTCTCTCATCGAAATTTAAGAGAAGAGAAACATCAGAAAAAGAATTTAAGGATGCACTCACATTCACTACATTAGTGATATCTCTCCAAATACTAAAATCACTTTCAAGGCTTTTTTTGGTGTCAGAGCCAAAATTTTACACATTTTACTGTGCTATCTATCGACATTTACAAGAGCATATGATGATGAGGGAGAGAATATTAGAACAAAATGAAATGTCTGAATTGATTTGGAAGAATCTCTCAAGGTTTCTATATTTCTCTTAGAAATCGTGATTTGGAAAAATCTTTAAAGAGTTTGTGCTTCTCTTAGTTTGTGACCCTTCACATTGCCACTCATCGACTGATAAGCAGGTAAAATTTGGTTATAGTAGCACATGGAATGCATCATATTTAGCAATCAAATAAATCAAAGGTCATTTATAAAAATAAATAAGCAAAATGGTGTTCACTTGAACACAAGATTGACTTCAGTTCTGTTGAGCAAAAGACAAATAATACAAATCTACTGCTACTTCAGTGCTGTAATGTTTTCCAACTTTTTTTTGTGTGTGT